TTTGGAAATTTTTATAAAAAGATTTATAGAGATATAAAAACTAAATTATATTTAGTTATATGTTTAAATAATTATTTTTATTGAAAAGATAAAGTTACATCACAATGAAAAATATATTTATAATAATTTATCAAAATATATACTCGTGTGTATATAAAAGTATACACACACTTTTATTTACATATGCATACAATGTAGTTTTCTCTAGAAGTGTCAACAGTCACAGGAACACAGGCATTGCCATTTTGGTTCAAACTTAGGAGGCTTTAAAAAGTTGGCTCTAAGTTTTGTTTTTCTATTGAGTGGTGGTGGTGCGTTTTATTGCCAATATGGATTTAAAACAAGGTCATGGCCTGGCCGGCGTGGCTCAGCCATTGAGCATCGATCCAGGAGATTGGGGTTCGATTCCCGGTCAGGGCACATGCCCAGGTTGTGGGCTCGATCCCCAGTCGGGGGCGTGCAGGAGGCAGCCGATCAATGACTCTCTCATCATTGATGTTTCTGTCTCTCTCTCTCCCTCTCCCTTGCTCTCTCTGAAATCAACAAAGATCTATTTTTAAAATAAAAATAAAAAAATAAAGCGAGGTCATGGTTATTTTCTCTGATGCTTATTTTATTTTATTATTATGTATTTTTCCCAGTATAATTTTATTTATATAAAGGACCAAAGTGGACAATGAAATCCCTGGTGATGGAAGTCAGAATAGCAATTATCTTTGGGGAGTACTGTGTGATACTATTGAGGTGCTAGTAATGTTCAGTCTCTTAGTCTGGATGGTGGTTACACAGGTGCGTCAACTTCATAAAATTTTATTGAGTTATATATGCACATTATTTGTTCAACCTTTCTATATGTGCTATACTTTAAACATTAAAACATTAAAAACATTAAAACATTTACTTAAAAAATTTCCAGGACACATCCTGAGATAGCTCAAATATCCAAATGTGTTTTCATGTTCTCACCTTTTTTTTAAATGTGTCTATTGATTTCAGAGAGAGGAAGGGAGAGGGAGAGAGAAACATCAATAATGAGAGTCATTGATCGGCTGCCTCCTGCATGCCCCTGCCTGGGGATTGTGCCCACAAACCGGGGCATGTGCCCTGACCGGGAATCGAATTTCAATCCCCTGGATCCTAGGTCGATGCTCAACCGCTGAGCCACATCGGCCGGGCTCAAGTTCTCTTCTTGTAAGTAAGTAATCCTCCCTGATTTCAGTTTTAGAGGTAAACCTGTCTAAATTTCTCTAATCAGTATTGCAAGCTCTGCCTCTCACAAGTGTATCTAAACTTTTGATTTTTTTGCCCAAGAAATTACTATTACTGTAATGAGTTTTATAATTATATTCATTAAGGCAAGTGATGCTTTGATTTCCTCTAAACTTAACCTCCCAATTTGAAAGGAAATTCTTTTTTCCCCCCTTAAAACTTAAAACTGATTGTATTTTTCTTTCTTATTTAAAACTGTTATATATGTATTTTATCACATTCTCACAGTCTTCATGTTTATGTGCAAAATGCTCCTCTCTTACACTTTAATTCACAAGATATCTTCACTCTTCATTTTTTTTCTACTTTGGTCACTTTTAATGAACCCACTTTGGAATTACTAAAATTCTGACATCTCTTTCTGGAGGAGTTACAGCCAGTATTGCACAGGGATTCTCGTCACACTATAGTTTCATGAAAGGACAGTGTCATAATGTTCAAGTCCTAGAAAAATACAAACTTTGTCCTGCTTTACCAGTTTACTAGTTAAGCTTTTTTGGCCAAGCCTGACTTTGGATTTTTTATCTTTTAGAGCGAGAGAAAGAGAGAGAGAGAGGGAGGGAGGGAACCATCGATGTGAGAGGGAACATCTATTGGCTGCCTCCTGCATGCCCCCTATTGCTCATCAAGCCTGAAATCTGGGTATGTGCCCTCACCAGGAATCGAACCAGCAACTTTCCCGAGCATGTGACGATGCCCAACCAACTGAGCCACACTGGCCAGGGCAGATTTAACTATTTTTAACCATCCTTTGTTTGTAAAGACATACTTTGGTGTTCTAATAACAGGTGTTAGAGATTATTAACTGTGAAGATGGTTTGGCATGCAGGATGCTGCCGAGTACATCTATAATTTCATATAAATATAAATCCTTTAAAAAAAAATAAAGGTGAGTTTTCATTGGAGGTGCTTGGGATACCTCACAAACATTATGGCACACCCCTTTGGCCTGTTTGCCCCACTGGAATGTCATCTGATCAATGACATCAAAATTCATGCAGTTAGGATACTTCAGAAGAAAGCCTGTGGAGTACTTTAGGCCCTGCTTCCCTTTCCAGCTTTTTCTCTCACTCTTTCCTGGCTCCATGTTTCATCTAGGCCTGGGGTGTTCTTTTCATTTTCTGAAGCAATATTCATCTGATGCTCTTTTTCAGATTTGGGAATGCCATTCACCTCTTCTGTTTGTATAGCTTGTGAAGTTATCACTTTTTACACTGATTTATAAGTGCTTGCTTATCTGTGCCTCCTCTATCAGACTATCAGTAAAGAATTATGGAACTAAGGGATTTATCACAGGAATGACATTTTACTAAATAGGCGAGGAGCTGGGGAAATGAAGGCCTGGAAGGGGGAACTGGAGGACCAGAGTCGAGGGGGCAGGGGATCAAAACCTGGCCTGCATTAGTAGGAATGCCAGCGAGGATCAGAGAAGCAGCGTTCAGGCGGTTTGAAGGGCTGGTGTCAGTAGGCGAGTTGAAGCTTGCAGGAAGGTCTGACGATCCAAGCATGCCCGCTGCCAAAGGGGAAACGTGAAGAGGGAGCTTGGAGAGATCTATGGAAACTGCCTCGTGTGGGAAAACGCTGCTGAGGAGAAGCTGTCTCTGTGTGTCTGGGGCCTAAGGTCCCTGATGGTGGGCTGGGGGCTGCTGCTGACCCGCAGAGTCCAGAGTTGGGAAGATGCGGTAGAATGAAGAGTGAAGACGAGCTGGGACCTGTTGGGCTCCTCAAGTCTATCATTGTGACTGACCATGGTTATCTTCTAAGAATAACAGCTTCTGGTCACTTCCGCCTTCCTCTTTTGGCCAATTCTAACCTGGAAACGTGGGTGTGGCTATAATAAATACCTAAAGATGTGGAAGTGGCAATGGGCAGAGGCTGGAAGAATTTTTAGGGGCGAGGTAGAGAAAGTTCAGAGTGCAGAGAGCAGACTGTTAGGAGCAAAAGGATGTCAATGACTCTTCCAGTGAGAGCTCAGGAGGAAGTGAAGAGCACGATAGAGGAAACGTACTGTTTTGGAGAAAAGCAAGTCACCCTGAACAGACTGCTGGTAGAAGTGTTAAAGAAGCTGCTGGTAAAGACTCAGGATGAAAATATGTCATCGAAAACTTGTTATAGAGCGGCAGAAAGCTTAGTGGAATGGCATCCTGCAGCTAAACGGAAAAGTGGAACTCGTGTGTGTGTTATATGCTGTTGAGTAGGCTCTGACTCCGGGCCACCCTGTGATGCGTGATGTCCACAGTGTCCTGGCCTCAGCAGCCCTGCTCAGCTCCTGGAGACTCAGGCCCACGGCTTCTTTCATGGAGTCCATCCAGCTCACATGTGCTCTTCCTCTTTCCTTGCTGCCTTCTATGTTCCGGCATGATTGTCTTTCCCAAAGAACCCTGCCTTCTCATGATGTGCCCTACATAGAGCAGCTTCAATTCTGTAATTTTTCTTTTTTCAATCCTCACCCAAGGACATGCTTTTATTGATTTTAGAGAGAAAGGAAGAGAGAGAGAAACACTAATTGGTTGCCTTCTGCATGTGCCATGACCAGGGATTGAACCCGCAACCCAAGTATGTGCCCCGACTAGGAATTGAACTGCAACCTTTTGGTGTATGGGGCGATGCTGCCACCAGTTCAGCCACCTGGCCAGGGCTCAATTTTGTAATGTTTTCCTCTAGCAATGTTTCAGACTTAATTTGCTCTAGAACCCACGTGTTTCTGGTGGTCCAGGGTATCTGTAGGGCTCTCCTCCAACACGACACTTCAAATGAATCAATTTTTTTCCTATCAGCCTTCTTCACTGTCTGAACTTCTTCATCTGTACAAAGTAATTGGGAACATGAGGGTGTGGGTGATCTTTGCCTTCGAAGGGCACCTGGTGTTAAGACAGGTGGGGTCAGACTGGACCTGGGTTCAGCAACTTTGGTACTTGAGTTCTGGCTAGGAAAGAATTCAGAGCCAAGACTCCAACTGTAAGAGAACATTTATTTAGAAAATCACAGAGGTAGAAGGAGTAATTCATACAAGAAATGGGCTTAGGAAACAAGTTACAGAAGCAAAGGAAGGACCCTTTGAGCTTGGGAGTGAGGGAGGTGATAACAAGCCTGGGGGGAAGGGGAGGGGAAGACAGAGGGAGAGGGGGCAGGGAAGGGAAAGGCACAGGCATGCTCCTGGGAGGGAGAGCACTGTGAGTCCAAGGTCCTAAGGGTTTTAAGGGTGGCGAGTTTAGGGGAGGTCCCAGGGGAAAATCTCAATAGAATATTCTGCAGTTTTCTAGGTGTGGTCTTTTCAGGGCTGTGGTCTCCACTGATTGATTGGTTGGTGCTAGGGCAAGGGGTCATTCTTCAATGCAGCTGGTCCTAAGGTCAACTGTGGCTGATTTTGTTGCTTTTCTGGGCCTGGAGCTGAAATACAACTGAGCCTAGATGCTATCGCTAGAGAGGAAAGGTCAGGGGGTCCAAACCACATGCCCAGAGATATGCTAGGGGAGGAAAGTTCACCCTGGGGGCAAGGTCCCACCATACATTTGTCCTTTGCTAGGCACCCATGGTTTTCTGCCCTGGTGACCTTCTGTACCTGGCCCATCATCCTTGCTCTGCTCATGCCTGCCTAACTGCCTACCACATAATAACACATCTTCTTTGTCACCTTTTTGAGTCTCAGCTTTCTCTTGATTTCTTGGCTGCAGTCTCCATTTGAATTGATGACTGAACCACGGTAAGCAAAAATTTTAACAATTCCAACATTTTCATTGTTTATGTTAGAGTTGTGTATTTCTTCTGTAGTCATGATTTTTGTCTTCTTGATGTTCAAATGCAGTCTGCTTCTTTCAATTTCATCAGAAGTCTTTTCAAATCATTGTTACTTTCTTCCAGTAAAATGGTGTCATCTGCACCTCTTGTTGATATTTCTTCCACCAGTTTTACTCCTTTCTCTGAGTCTAGCCCAGTTTTTTTTTTTAGGAAATGTTCTGTGTACAGATTAAACAAACAGGGAGATAAATGCACGCTTCTGACACCTTTGCCTTTAGGAAACTACTTTTGCTGAGGAGATTACTAGGGTTAAAGGCGCAGCCTGATCTCTTCTTGCTGCTTCTAGTAAAATGCCAGAGGAAAGAGACAGACACTGTTAAAGAAAAAGGAAATGTGACTTGGTGATTTGAGAACTTCTCAGTTTAATCAGATTTCAAAAGAGACTAAACTTAAAAGATGCACTGTCAGAATAGAAAAAGCTAAGGTTGTGGCTGTACAATCTTCCCCTAATGTCATGGAAGGTTAAAAAGATTACAGTATTCAGTCACAAAAATGGCTCTGTGAAGAGATTAAGTGTGTGACTTATAGATTCCCTCAACTACCTCAGCAGAAGCCAAAAATACTCGTGTATCCATCTAGGAGGAGCCTCTTGTCTAAGGACGTGAATTCCTATAACATATCCAGAGGATCCACAGGATTTTTGGAATTTTATATCAGCACAGACAGTGTCAAACTGGACCAAAGAGGAAGAGAGAATATGAAATGAATGAAACAGGCTGACAGGGCCGCTCAGAGCAAACACGTGCTGCCTGCCTCTCCCGAGTGACGGAAGGCATCCCTAGTGAAGGGGAGGGTGCGCACGGCCAGGAGGCATGAATAGCAGGCGGTGTCTGGGATCTGTAGAGTCTGTCACATTGGAGTAGTGGTGTGGTGGGAAAGGGGGGAAGGATGATGCTAGGTAAGTAAGCAGCGCGGACTCAACACGAAGAGCCGTGTCGCCATGGTAAGGAGTGCACATTTTCTCCAGTCGCTGAAGGGGAAGCGCTGAGAACTTTTAAGATGTGATTGATACGACAGATTTTCACGCTGGCCATTTTGCTCACACTTTAGAAGTGCCATTCCTTCTAGTAGTCTTATTGGTGCCAAAGTTAAGAAAGTCAGCTTGAAAAGTCCAGATGAGAGCCTGAAGTAGAAATAATTGAGGGAAAATAAAAGGATGTATGAGACTGTCATAATTCTACACATTTTTTTGGTGTGATTATACAATTTTTGACTTTGTTTCTATACTTTAAAACATAACCTTCTAATATAAACCTGGTGTCCCCGGAAGACATTCCTACTGGGAAAAGAACATACTGATCAGGCAATTCAAGTAACTCAGTGGGGACTGCAGTTTATTTTTTGTATTTACCATTTACCTTGTGAGCTTTGTTAGTGTAGTCAGTTCTTTAGAGACAATCACCCCCATATACAGTGATAACTTTAATTTCTGAACATGCAGAATTGAGAACAAGATCCCTTGGTAACATCTCCAAAATATGAAGATCCTTCAAAGTCCTAAACAAATAGCTTTACTATTTATGAGGGATATTATTAATCATAAACATTTTACACCACTGTACAAAAATTTAACAGAATTTATTAGAAATTTCAGAAAAACAAAGCTTCTCAATTGTCACTAATACATAATTTGAATAACAAATTAGTTTTCATTTTCTTTTTAAATATAATGAATTTATTTCCAGGAGCATGCTCATTAAAAATAATAAAATATTTCCATTTACTAAAAATGTATTTATCAATAAGATATGTAGTAAAGTATAATTTGTAGCAAAAATGTAAACTAGTTAATTTATCTTTATTACCCATGTTATAATTTACCTTTATTTTATGGTTATAGTGTTTTAATAATTAATAAATTGCATAAATATATTATATATTTACAGGAGATTCTCAAAAATAATGATTCCATTTAATAGTTATTGTTACATTTCATCAGTATTTTCTTTGCAGTCTGGATCCAATGTCAGGAGACAGATTGGTCCTTGGCTGGATGTCCTGTAACATAATTTCAGAATATTCTTTTACTGTTGTATTATAGACTTAAAGGTGGATCTCCTCCTAGATTACAGATTTTAGTAAGATTAAACTCATAATTCAGATTCTCAAATGCCATATATACATCAACCTCAACATAAAGAGTACACTTTATATAAGGCATCTAATTATAATAATTCATAATCTTCACTCTTTGCTATTGGTAAAATGTGATTAAGAGGTTTTAAAAATCATAATCTGATGTGTAAATGGTTGAAATTTAATAATTTTATTTTCTACAGGAAACACTTGGAACTCGTAACACATTAGGAGTAGTTTAAAAATGTACTGGGCTAAAGAAGTTGCTTGGAAAGGTACAGTTAAAAATTCATTAAGTTTATTTTATTTAAATAAAATATTCCAAATGAAAATTCTGCTTCAAAGATTCATAGTTTTTACATTGAAAAATGATGGCAGGTGTCTCGAGGGTGCCCTGCAGCAACCCCATATTGTTTGTATATTACCTCTATTAGAATGTGTTACTTGAGCCCTGGCCAGTGTGCTAAGTGGTTAGAGTATCAGCTCACGCACCAAAGGGTCTCAGGTTTGATTCCAGTCAAGGGCATGTACCTGGGTTGCAGGTTCAATCCAGTGGCCCCAGTCGTGGCTCATGCAGGAGGCAACCAACTGATGTGTCTCTCACATCGATGTTTTTCTCTCTCTCCCCTCCTTCCTTTTCACTATCTCTAAAAAGCAATGAAAAAAAAAATCCTCAGGGAGGATGAGAAGCCTGGATGAGATACAATTTTTTGTTTGGGAAATTTGGTGGATGATGGTGCCATTAATTGAAATAAGAATTATAAAAGGTAGAACATAGTTTGTGGGTGTGTGTGTAAATTCTGGTTCTGCCACTAAACAGTTCTAAGATTTGAGGAAATTATTTGATGTCCTTAGTTTAGGAGATTAAACAACAGAATGTGTCTGAGACCATTTGGCATAGTACTTTTCTGTGCTAGGAATCCAGTAGGTATAATGTTGCTAGGCTGAGAAATTCAGTTCCTGAATCAGCTACACAATACATGTAAAGTGTAAAGCTAGACACAAATTATATGGCACGCTATAATTTAAAAACAAAATTTTTGTAAGTTCATATGGGTATGAAAATTTTGGAGCCAAAATAAAAAGAACATAAAAACAGTAATAAAAAACCTGCAACATCTCCAAAACAACAAACACTCCCAAATAGATATGTCTGCCATTGTATGGAGAGATGGAAATCTTTTTTAGAAACTCCCTATTGAAGAACTAGGCTATACCACAATTGTCCTGGTAAATACAATATAGTGTCAGTGATCTCTTGTTTCATACATACAGAAAGCTTAGAATGGGCCTACATATTGCCTTTCGAGAACTTATGTATTAAATAAGTTTACTTATTTGAAATGCAGTGGGATGTAGGAACAAATTTTGAGAGCTTTTAAAAGACAAAAATATATCTAAAGCCATGTACTTTATTCCCAGAGGAGGCACTGAGTACCTATGTATTATTGATTTAAACATAACTCGAAAAGTTTGGATATATTTTCTGGACTCAAAATAAATTATAAGCAGCTAAACAGAATACTTGAAGGCAAGATACAGGTAGAAGTAATCCCAGGTGATAAAAAAAAAAAAGCTATAAAAATATAATGTTTGAAAGTATACATCCACCATAAATGTTAACTTGAATCTAATAATGAGAAAACAATCAGGCAAATCCAGATCATGGGATATTCAACAAGACAACTGCTCTGGACTCTACAATAAAGTGTCACTGTGCATGAAGATGAAAAAGAGCGAAGAGACTTCTCTAGGTTAAGAGACATAATAATGAAATGCAATGTATAATCCTGGGTTGGATCCTGGATCAGAGCAATAAAATAGCCACAAAGGCATTATTTTTCAGACAACAAAGGAACTTTGAATATGGAGCATGTATCAGATAATGCTATATCAATATTAAATATCTTTAATATTGGTATTGTGATGATGGATTTAGAGGGGAAGCATCATTATGTCTGTAATTTACTTTCAAACAGTTCATTAAAACATGCATTTGTGTGTGTATGTATCTCTTGCTCCTATTCTATTCTATTCTATTCTATTCTATTCTATTCTATTCTATTCTATTCTATTCTATTCTATTCTATTCTATTCTATTCTATTCATTTCTATTTCTATTTATTTCTATTTCTGTTCTATTCTATTCCATTTCATTCTTCCATCCATCCATCCATCCGATAAAGCAAGTGTGGCAAAATGTCAACAAATGGTGAAGCCAAAGTGAAGAGCACAAGAACAAAATAAAAATATAGCAGAAAAAAGGGCAAACGAGAATCAAATGTTCATATCCCTATGTAGACTATGGTAAGTGAGTTTTGATGGTGGAGGGGGATGGGGTAATTTTAATGTTGCTGTTTAAACAGGCAGTTAATAATTCTGTGATTTTATACCATGTCCCCTGAAAATAAATGGAAGTTTTCTGACTTATATTAGTGATGTTAGAAGAAAGAAGACTAACATGTTTGGAGATAAAGAGACTGAATAAAGCTAATGGTTACCATATGTCATAAAGAATGAAAAAGATATAAAATAAAAATTATTTCAAGTCTACCCGTGGTCCCTAATCCACACCATTAACTTTTCAGTTGTCAGATACTCTAGCAATATTGCACCCATGTGTTCAGTAGAGTAATCTGCTGGTTAGGTAACTTTCTCTTCCTATCAAGTAGTATTTACACTTTGTGATCAGTTGGTTGTCTGTGGTTAGTACACTGTTTTCAGGTTGTGCTGAGGTGTAGAGAAGACTGATCTCAGTCACTGCAGGTCTTCTCTCACTAAAGTGAAGTAAGAATCATAAATGTCCTAAGTAACAGAAAACTGTCACAGTTAAAGTTCAGACACAGGAAAATTATCACTGTAAAAATTAAATTGCTGAATTGATAGAGATGAAAATTTGAGCAAACTAGAGTGTAAAAAGTAACCATGAAAAAAATATACCAAGAGTCAAAGTGACCACTGTGTTAAGAGTTGTGCCTAAAAATCACAGCATCAAAAATGCCACACCACAAGGCCACCTCTCAGAAACACATGCCCAGAGGTAAATAATAAGCTTCACAAGGGCAGGGACAGCCTTTTCCTTACTTACTATTACTCACTACTGTACTCAGAGCATGCAAATGTCTGAAACATGGGTAAGAAATGTATAACTTAATATAAAAGTAAATAATAAGAAATGAAGAATGCTGCACAATCTTACTTTTTCCTGTCAAGATTTCAGAATTGACGGTACATAATGGAAAAACAATTGAGCAAACATGCAATTAGTTCTCTAACAAAACACTTCCTTGCTGAACACCTAAACTGAGGATGTGCCCTTTCTATAAACCTGAATGTCTCCCGAGCACCTCTAGGCAGATATGATTCCTCCCTTCTGCGATTTCCTAAAACTGTGCATCACACAGTCCTAGCTTACCTTGTATTAGCTATTTGGATATACTATCCATGTGTGTCTTTCTCCATTTTAGATGGAAAATTTCTGAATTGCTGTTTTTCATTTATTTGTGTATCTTTACCAGGACCCAGTGCCAAGGCAAAAACAAAGTTCAAAATACTAATGTCTAGTTTTGAACTTTGAAGACATAGAAGGGATATGGGCAAGGATGGAATCATTGCCAATGTAAATTTCTTAATAATTTTCCAATAAGGCTACATATCTAAAATTATTTGAAGAGTAGTGCACAGATACCTGTTTCTGTCCCCATGACTGATGAAATACACTAGATGTAAAAATAGCTACAATTTTTTAAAAATGAGAGGATATTTGCTTGATCCTAATAGAACATCTTATAACTGAAAGTTGGTTGGGGAGAAAAGCTCCCTAAAAACCAATCTCAAAAATTAATATCAATACAGGATTCTTATACATAAAATCATGAAGTTTCCTAAAACAGAAGAAAAATCTTCTTAAAATACTTACCAGGAAGGGTATTATTTGTAAGGTATTTTTGATGGATGGATTTTTGCAAATGGTTTCTTGTACATCTGAAATAATTATAACATTACACAAAAATAATTTAGTTATGTTTATTGAAAGAAAAGAATGACTAAATTAAATGCTAAATTCTGATGTGTCAAAATATTAAAAATTGAGTAAGAGGCTTTTTTCTATTGTTCCCAGAAGTAGTCTTTAGACTTATATTAGGTTAGGGAATAGAAGTAATTTGATTAAAAATAATACATAAAATTTATGTTGATAAAAAGGAATTTCTAGTAATTTATTTTATAACAATCTTTATTCAAATGCTAGGTTTTCTTTCCTTTTTATTTTTTTTCTTTTAAAAAACACACAAAGAAATGAATTTCATTCTTGGAGCATCTCAGGAAAGAGGAGATGTTTGTTTAGCTACTGAGGCACAAAGAAGGTCAACTCTTGCCTGTTCAATGTTTAGGCCTTTGTCCATATAATAGCAAGGGTCTGAGCAAAAGAAAGAAAAATTAAATTTTACAGGAAGCATTTAAATATGTGGGAGTATATAACAGGAAACACTACTCCAAAAAAACTGACTTGAAAGTTTTTCTCTTTATCTGCATAATTTTGCATCTTAAACTTATAGCTTTAGTTCTATATTGCTTTTGTGGTTGTAGCACCCATTTATTAATAATTTAAAGATTTTAATTTTAGAATTAACACAGAGTATATAAAACATATGCATATTTTAATTAATAATAATAATAAAGCTAACATCTGTGTAACCACCCAGATTAATAAATTTGAACACCATCTGTTCTTTAGAAGCTTCTTGGAGCTTCCCACCTCCACACTGCCCTGTGGATTGGACGCCTTTCCCTTGCTCACAGAAGTAACCCAGTATCCTGACTTTAATTCTTTATAGTTTTTAACACATACACACATATATATGTATCCCCCAAAGACTACTGTTTAGGCTTGCCTGTTTCTGAACTTCACATAAATTAAATTGTACCATCTTTATTCTCCTGTGATTTTCCTTATTTTGCTCAAAATTATATATTATTTAGACTCATCTATGATGGTGTGCGTGTATGTAGTTTGTCCATTTTCCTTGCTGAATAGTATCCTTAGCACATTTAAAGTTTTCAAAATTTGGCTTTTAAGAGTGATGATCTCTATATAGTTATACAAGTTTCCTGATGTACATGTGCAGGGTTTTATCTAGGATATCCATCTAGAAGTGAAATTGCTGGTTGTAGGGTATGTTCATGTTCAATTTATTAAATGATGGCAAAACATTTCCTAAACTGGTTGCCTCAGTTTACACTCACACCAGCATTATATATGAGCTACAATTACTGTGTGTCTGTACCAACACTTAGCATTGCCAGGCTTTTTTTAGGTAATCCTCACCCAAGGATATTTTTTCCATTGATTTTAGAGAGAGTGAGAGGGGAGGAGGAGAGGGAGGG